CGGCACGGCGGGCCGGAGCGGGGCCGTGCCCCTCGCCCGTGGGCATCGGCATCGTGGGAATCCGCGGGAACCTGCTGCTAAGAGCGGAAAGCGAAGGGGCTTCGGCTGGAGGATCAGCCTGAGAACCGACGGGGGAACTTCAGAGCAAAAATACATCTTGCCTATTTATTTCCCAGCAGTTCATTGGCTAGGAGAAAAACCCCCAAACAACCCCAAAACAAAACAATTAAAGTATTTCAGCCAACAAATTGTGGACAACCTGAATGTTGGTAGTTCTTCTCTTGGCATCTCGGAGTAGCTCTTGCCATAACTGAAGGCTTTTGTCCACATTTCCCCAAACCCACACGAATACACCTAAGAACATAATATAAATACACTCGGTTAAGTTAGTACGATTTTTTTAATGGCAAACTTAATTTATATGCCTTCACCTTAACATAAGGGATTCCAAAATACTCCGTTTAAAATCCATACGTGTGTGCCACCGAGGTTTGCACCCACATAACTATAATTTGTCTTTTGACTTTGTGGTTACTTCTGCCCCTGCTGACCTGTAGTATCACAGGTAAAGTTCCTTTTCCCTTGCCCTTTTTGGGTGAATTTTTGGAAATGTGCAGTTTGCCTTGTGAAAAATGCAATGTAAAAGATGACATAAAGGCACCTGCTGCCTCTGAGTCTCCTAACTGCTACGGGCAGGGGACTGATGCAGCACCGTCCTCCTCCGAACGCCTCCCTCCCTACGTAGAAACCAAACTGGGAGTAAAACCAGATGATGACTCACTTTGCGTGGAAATAACGTCCCACGGTGGCCACGCTAAAACCCAGTGCTCTCACCGACCTGCAGAGCAGCAACATTTTACACCTTGATCGCCCTTTAGAGCTATTTACAGAAGTCAGCCCATGTCCCACTGGTGGGAAAATGCTCTTAGCCTTGGCGTGGAAGGCCTGCAAAAAAGATTCAGCTTCAGACATGGAAGCAGAAATCGGGATTTCCTGGATCTCGCATCCAGGCAGGATCCCTGCCCATCCCCAGGCTGCTCCAGAGAGGTTCCAGCACTCGTTTAAAATCCACATCCATCAGCCTGTCCTGCATGATCCCAAGATTCACCTCCCTAAATATAGCTGATGCTTTTCTTTCCAATATCGTATTTACGTCACCCAAATTATGTCACAAATGTGCAATTACCAACATTTAAATATATAAAAATCTTAAATATAGCACTGTTTAAACTATGGACAGGTCATTATTTCAGCAAACAACGTATTACTGCTTATCCAACACTATATAATCATGGTCTGTGCAATATGGCGTGAAAAACAATGGGGCTTTCATGGGACGTGGGGCGGCCAACCATCTCTGCGGGCACAGGTATGCGATGGAGAAGTCCTGATTTCACCCAGAGTGCCATCCATTTCAGCTCCTGCAACAAGAGTACATTGTTCCGTGCTCTAACGTGGGCAAGAAAAATAGAGCACTCAATTGTACTTGCCATAATGCATGTATAATTTATAGTAATGTTGGTTATTAAAAGATTTCTGGTAATTAACAGCAATGTACTCTTTCACTGCCTTTTTTCCCCCCTTTCTTTCTTTTTTTTTTTGCCTGTCATAACAACAAACATTCCTGGGAGATGCTCTGGAACACATCCTATAGGTCTTGGCACAATAGCTGGAGAAAAGCTTTTGAAAACCTGCCAGTCTTATCTGACACGGATCTCCCAGGTACTATATAAAGCCAAATCCTCTTGGGCCCAGGAGGATGGTGGGTGGCCGGGAGGGCAGCGGCACCAACCTCTTCCCAAAACCAAATTGCAGCCAGGGCAGAGGGGCCAGCGTGGCCATTGTGACCATGGTCAAAGGCATCATCAGAGCCCAAATCTGCAGGCACGGACCGTGTGCTCTGGGTTTTCAGTAGGGAAAAATAATCCATAATTTTTTGCTTTTTTTAATCTCTAGTAGTTTATATGTTTCCAGTCAAAGAGAAGGATACAGAGGGTTAAAACACAAAATAAATAATTGCCATTTAAAGAATGTTTTAACAGCACAATCTGTAGATTATTTTAATGCCTTGAAAATGGGGTTGAGATGGGTACCTGTTGACTCCACGCTGAGAGGCGGTGAAGGCTGGGGGACACACTGCACTCCTGCTTCACTGCCCGGGAACGGGGGCACAATATGAGCCCAGCCAGAGAAACCACGACAAAACTGCTGCACCAGAGTGAGGGGCTCTGCCAAAAACTAAAATGCCTCATAAAATCAGGCTGGTTTTGCTGGAAGCTGATTTTGAAAGGAACCAGAGAAAAAAAGTTTTGACAGCATCAGAATGTCTCGTTTCCTTTGTTTTAATGACATTGCCGTGATTTTCCAGTTCAAACCAACTTTTCATTTTACTCTTGCAAATGTTATATTCTGTGTGGTAACGCACTGTGATAGGACTTTGGACCATCTTCAAAATGGAAAAAGCTAAAATCAGATCAAGGCATTTTGATAAATTCAAAGTTAAAAAAAAATGTTTGAAGAATTTTCCTTTATGGAGAATTTCACAACTGCTGGACTCCATGCTCCCAGACCTTGGCATCTTGAAACCCTTCATGCAGAGGATGTGATCTCACCCCATCACCTCGGTGTGTGCACCGTCCCGGGCAGGCTGCAGGCACGGCAAAGCCCATCCCGGCTCCTCCGGGCTGGAGTTGTAGCCATCCCGTGCCACCGCTCCTGGGACACACGTCAGGGGAACGCACGGGTTGTTTCACATCACCATAACGCCGAGTTAAGACCTGGGATTTTCTACCTTCATGTGTTTTCCAGTCAGCAATAAATACAGTTTGCAGATGGCTCCGAGATAGCCTGAGGTCAGTGGTCTGCACAGACTGCTCTGAAATTGCGCGCACACAAAAGCAGGGTTTTGCTTGAGCATGGTGGATTCACCCGCGGGAGGCACAGCTCACGTCCTGCCAACCTCGTGCCCTAAAAGTGGGTTTGCACGGCTTGCATACAGAGCCTGCATGCACCTGGCAGCATCATCCCCACACCCCCACCCGCTCGAGGCCACCCTGATGTGTGTGACAACACGCCGTGGACACCGCTGGTGTGGCCAACCAGGCTGCAGGGAGCAGAGCAGCCGCATGTCGTCACCCAGTGAAGCGGGGACATGGCTCACGACCCTCCTCCCTGCCAGGAGATGCCCAAGTCGAGGCATTTACATCCCAGCAGAGCGATACAGCCAGGAAGGTTTTGCACTGGCAAAGTTTGTGCGGGCACCTTTCCTCTAAGTGGGATGAAATTTTCACCGTCCGATGACCCCATCCAAATCCCCAGGGTTGCCGGTGGCACCGTGG